GAATATACTTATAGATACTTGCCAAAAACAACAATAAATTAAAAAATAACAAAACAATAAAATTAAGGTTAAGGTTAAACGCCAAGGACTCTAGCCAACCTGGTAATTATCTGTGTTCCTGGAACACAAGAGATAGAAAAAAAAAGAAAATTATGAGGTACACCTGCAACATAACCTACGCATCACACCAGATTCTGCTAGATTTATTTCGAAAACTGTATGAATAGCACCTGCTTAAAAAAAATTAATGACAAGATGAAAAATTACGAACCTATATAAAATTTAAAACGAACAAAAACTTTAATTTTATAGTCACAAAAATGTTGTGAACTGTTAACATATTTAAATTGTTTACAATTTTTATCAAATAGGAAATGACATAAACCGCATTTGATTACATTTAATTGGTTTATAATTTTTATAACCATTTAATTTTTTCAACCACTTTTGCACTGGATTAAATGCATTCAGAATTTTAGATGTTTGTCTGATAACATACATGCACATGCATGCGTCAATCTTGCTACATATCTTGTAAAAATAAAAAGTAATTATTGTAATGATCCCAAATGAAACTTATTAATAATTCATTACCTACCCGAAAAGTAAACTAAATCAATTTTTTTAGCTAAATGACACAGAATTAAATGAAGTTTTGTAAAATATAAAAATTGAAAATATTAATTTATGCCAATACTTTTTAAAATTAATAATTTAAAAGTACCTACTGTATTTTTTTTCTGAAACAATAAATATTGATTTTTTAAAATTAAATTTAAAAGCAAAACATTGAGAAAACACCTTCCACATAAAATGACTCACGCGGAATTTTTTCGTTCAAAATTTCAGAATGTATCATATCAGTTTCGTCAGCTAATAATATTTATAATGAAACATGAATGAAATCTGTTTATGTCTCGGCGTGTATATGGAGGAATCGCGTTTACCTTTATTTAATAAAGTTATTTAGAACGGACCATAATGTGTCCATTGTTGAGAGCGACATAAATAATTATCACATTGTAGCAAGTAAGGTGCTGGTTTTCAGAGGTGTTAATAGATTTTTTAGTGTGTCGAGTATGTTTCAAGAGATGTTTTTCAAAAGTCTGCAGTGCAGTGTTGACGAGAGTTTGGCGTTTTCGAAAAGAAAGGTTGGCTCACATACATACATAATATGTATTACATATATTACATATACATTTACTTAAAAAAAATAAAAATATTTGCCAAATTTTAGGTAAAGATGAGAATTATTTCTGGTTTAAAAAACGAAATAAATTTATATGGACAACTTTGCTCGTAAATAACTGCCAATATCAAATATCGTGCCAGTTTTATTGTTGTGCTGTGTTTTTGCGAATCTTTTAGCTGTACCGGTTTTGATTTGCATAATTATGCAACACTCATTCATGTTTTTGTGCGGAAATGTCACGGATTTGTGTTTATTTGCACTTGAAAAACAAACCGGAGAGCGCGCTCCAACGTAGGCAACCAATTGCTGCGGTGTTAACTGGGTTGCCTACACGACAGGAGCGCGAATTACGTTTTTCTTAATTTTAGAGGAAAATTTTTGAAAATTTGTTTTATTGGACGAATAATTTTTAAAATATTTCTTTGTATAAATGCAAATAATTTGATTACCTACTATTTTAAGACATAAATATTTATTTGTTTATTAGTATTGGCGTTTATCTGATTTCCTAACTTTTGTGTTTTTAATAACTTTGTATCATTACAATAAATTAATGTTTTTAATAAAGTTTTATTGAAAATAATTTATTTTTAAATTTATTTGTAAAGTAACTCTGGAAAATTGGTTATTTATAATAATTACATTTAACACCGATATATTTAGGCTTTAGTGTTAATTAAAAATTTCAAATACACCAAAGAATAATAAAAAAATGCAAATATACTTTGTTAAAAACAATGGTTTTCTAGACAAAATATATGTTATTTGCACTGCAAATTTACATTATATTGGAAAATTTATAAATATAGGGTGCAATTATTAAGTGTAACAAATGTTAAGAGAAAATTAAATTGGCAGCAAACGCTTTTAATATTAATGTTACAAATTTTAAGCAACAATTAATTTCCTACTTTCCTATTATAATTTCCACAAAATATTTTTTATTTAATTAAATTAACTTCACTTACGCTAGACCGAATTTTACATTTTTTTAATGGGAAAGGTAACAAAATTATAAAAACGCATTTATAAATACAAATATAAATACAGGTAATAATAACACACGCCCGCTTTAAAATGTAAAAAGTAAAAAAAAATCTCAAAACTGCTTTTTTTACTTGTGACACTTTTGAACTGGGTTTCCGATACAATTGTGTTTTAATTTTTATTATTAGTAAGAACTTATGCAAGCTGAAAAAGAATATGTGGTTAGGGTGAAAAGTTAATATAAGTACCTAACAGAAAATTGGGTATACCAAAAATTTCCTTTACTTACTGTTTTTTATTTTTATTTTAACTTTTCTCTTGCATGCATTCATCCACTGTGCTGCATAGAGATGCGACTTGAAAAAAACGGTCCGTTTTTTTGCTTTTTTCAGTTTTTTTTTTCATTTTTTTTTAAATGTTTTTTTTCATATTTTAAGTTTTTTTTCTAGATTAGTCCCATTTGCCTACTTTTTTATGTTTCCAGTCCAGTTCCTGGACTAAAATTAGCCACTAAATAACATTTAGTAAATGTAAATACAGTCTCGCGCTTTGCACGCGCCACCACCACCGAATTGACCAATAATATTAATAATAATGTTTTGATTTATTCCTAAAAAAAGTAACTACCTATAATATTTTTGTTTCAGCGCTTGATTTTTCAAAAAGCTACCAAAAGCACTTTTTTTCATGATTTTTCAAATTCATGTAGAGTATGGAATTTTTCTTTCAAAAAAACAATAGCAAATTCTTGTAGAACATTTATTCATTGGTGGTGAAGTCAGAACATTCCGTGGACCAAAGAAGAGAGCCAAAAAAATTTCGAATTTTTTTTATTACGGTATTCGTTAGGATTTAGTGTTGCACGTTTTTCATCTAAAAATTAGAAACTTCAAATTGATTTTTTTACGGCTCCAATACGACCATTTTTAACAAAGATAAATTTTGCAGCTATCCGAAAAATCGCAAAAAATTTGAATTTTTTTTATGTTTTAATTTTTTATCTTAGTGTAGAAGTTTTACATTGCTATTGGTTTCATATGTGGAAACTACCAAATAATAAGAAATCAGATTTTTTAGTCTCGGTCAAAATTTTCAATAATGAAAAATGTAATATATATATTATATATTCTACATTTCACTTTATTATTTCATTTTGAAAAATTACTCACACTGAAAGAAATATATACTAAAGTTAAATAAAAAAATAATTAGGGCAAATATATTTTATGTTTCATATATAGACTACCACATACATTGCTAAAACAAATATATTCGTTTGGTTAGCAGCCTATTGCTACCCTAGCAATATAAATGGTGTTTCTAGCAATATTTTTTTGCTGTAATTCACTTATAGTTTACATTTTATAGTAAGGGTAAGTTTATTTTTATTTAGATCTAACATATCTTCTTTACAATAAATGTATTACAAAATTTACCATACATTCATAATAAACAGTAGTATAAATGTGTAAAGCACTAGTATAAAATTTTTAGTATAAATTTGTATTTACTTTTAGCAACAAATTTCTTTCAGTGCAATTTTTTAAGATTGATGTTATTTATTGACAGAATATGCTTTATTGCAGCGGATTTGAAAAAAAAAACCGTTTTTTTTTAGTTTTTTTTTAATCTAAAAAAAAAACGTTTTTTACATCTCTATAGTGCTACAAGATCTTTATTTTTTTGTAAATCGAAAATATTTAATGTTAGGTTTGGTTGGGTTTTTGTTTATATTTCTGCTGTCTGCTACCGCACAGCCCGGCATATCTTAAATAGTTACAAATATAACACAAACCTAATAAATAACCTGGTATAAAACACCCGTGCGCGGCTTAAACTTAACGAAAAACGTTGCAAAACCATCGTGCTTTAAAAAAACGCAATAATTTTGGAAAAAACTGAAAAGAAATCTTAGTAAAACACCCGTTCATAGCTTATGCCTATGCAAAACTGTTTGTGCCTTAATAGTATAATGACTAGGGATGGGATTTTAGTTATTTTAACTTTTTTCAACCGATGTAACTATTTTAAAACCAATAATGCCAAAATGTGTTTTAAAAGATTTTCTTTTAAATGAACCTAACTTGTTTTCACCTTTTTTTACCTTTTTTGGAGGTTTTTGCTTTAAACTACCTTTTTTATACTTTTCTTACCTATTTTTTTTAACAAGTTTTCACCTTTTTTACCTTTTTTGGAGGTTTTTGCTTTAAACTACCTTTTTATACTTTTGTTACATATTTTTTAATTTGTCAGTTTATTTTCACATATTTGTTATCTATTTTTAAGTATTTTTACTTATTTTATTTTTTAATGTTCTTTTTAAATTTTCCGCCAATATTTTATCCAGGGCGTGCAACTCAACAGTAAAGAATTTTTTCTTATGGTCACAGCAAAGAAATTATTCTATTATTCTAAATTATTTCTATGGGTCACAGACTGTAACAGTAACTTTCTTTACAGTATTTCTTTGTATTGAGCTTATGTTCTATCATAGAATTTCTGTGTAGTGAGTGTCACTCAGTGAAACAGAGTTTATTGCATAGAAATAGTTTATTGTGGGTATACATATATGTTCTGTGTTTGGGTATGCGGCTAAACAAAATTATAAAAGAAACTTGAACTTTTAATGTTTTTTTACCTAAAATGCTGTTTTTTTAACCTAAAATGCTTTTTTGAGTACCTTTTTAGTTACCTATTTTTCAGTTTTTAGTACCTAAATATCCCATCCCTAATAATGACCCATGTACGAAAGTGGGCGTTTTAAATGAGTAGAAAAAATAATATAAAACCAAAATATAAGGTCAAAATATTTTTTTTTCAGGAACTCGGTTCTCAGCCCTTGCCCACGACAAGCACCAGCGACGATGCGGAGATTCCGCGGCCGCGGTCCGGCACTTGGGGCAGCAAGTCCGACTCGAAGAAGTCGAAGACGGACGGCGGAAGATCCTCGAAGCAGTCGAAGCACGAGTCGAAGAAGAGCAAGAAGGAGAGGAACGGCGGGACGCGAAGCGGCTCGACGTCGCGCTCGAGCTCGGCCGAGCGGCGCAAGTCCGACGACGTGCAGAGCCCGAAGAAGGCGGGAATGCTCGACGCGTTCCGCAGCAGGTCGAACTCTGACGCGAGCAAGAAGAAGGGCAGCGCCTTCATGGCCAGCATGAAGAGCGCCATGTTGGTGAGTTCGATGTTTCTGCATCTTTTGCTTTTTTCGTTCTGGATTTTAATTTTAATAACTAAAAGCTCATTCACATCCACTTAATACGCGTAACTTAACTTTACGTACGTGATAGACGTATACATTGAAACCAATGCAGCTGTTTATATTCGTAGAAAACTTATCACACGTAACTTAACGTAACCAAAAGTTGGGTCCGGCTCAACTTAGGGGAATACGTTTCTTACGTGAGCCAATCACATGCCCATTAAAACGATATAGCGCTATCTTGTTGTTTCACTTTTATAGATAGATAGGCAACCCAGTCTACATCCATGTCTACATTGCGCGTGCTTGTATATTGCGTTCTTTGCGTGTATTAAGTTAATGTTAACAGACAACTTAACAGACGTAGGTTTCTTGTTGTTTCACTTTTATAGAGCCAATCACATGCCCAGTAAAACGATATACCTAGCGCTATCTTGTTGTTTCACTTGTATAGATAGATAGGCAACCCAGTCTACATCCATGTCTACATTGCGCCTGCTTGTATATTGCGTTCTTTGCGTGTATTAAGTTAATGTTAACAGACAACTTAACAGACGTAGGTTTCTTAAGTTAAGTTAAGTTAAGTTACGCATATTAAGTGGATGTGAATGAGCTTTAACTCTAACTAAGAAGTATAAAAAAATGGTGGTTCTTAAGAGAGACCACTGGGTCTGGTTCTAATTTTTTTTATTAAAAGTGGTCGGGCTCAGATTAAAAAATAATTTAAAAATCTTAATTTTTGGGAGTACTTTCAGGATAGTAAAAAAGTAAGAAAAAACCTTGTTTAAAAAATAATTTTAAAAAAATTATGAGTTTATCCCACTTTTTTAGGATTTGTTTTAATTTTTTAAATAAAAGTTATCGGGGCTCAGGTTAAAAATTAATTTAAAAATCTGAATACCTTCAGGATAGTAAAAAAGTAAGAAAAAACCTCGTTTGAATTTTTTTTTAAATTATGACTTTTTGCCACTTTTTTAGGACTAATTTTTTTATTAAAAGTGGTCGGGGCTCAGGTTAAGAACTAATTTAAAAATCTGAATTTTTGGAAGTACCTTCAGGGTAGTAAAAAGTAAAAAAAAAACTCGTTTGAAATTTTTTTTCCTTAAAATTATGCGTTTTTCCCACTTTTTTAGGATTTGTTCTAATTGTTTTATTAAAACTGGTCGGGGCTCAAGATAAAAATTAATTTCAAAATCTGAATCTGTGGGAGTACTTTCAGGATAGTGAAAAAGTAAAAAAAATTACACTGTATATATTAGGGTGGTCCTTAATAAGATTATTTTCAAATTTCTTTGCTCCCAGGGGCTCAAATGCTTCCAAATTGATAAAAAAAATTCCCTGAAAATTTGAGCTCTTAATATTAAATCTAAGATAGTGCGCATTCCAATCTAAGTTTCCTATGGAAATAACACAGGAAAAATTACTTTTGTTGTTTATAATTTTATAACTTGGGAACGAATGAATGAAAAATTATAAATCATACATATTTTTATAGAGAATTTAACGCTCTACAAAAAAGGTCTCCTATAATTTTTCCATTAGTCTATTTGTTTAAAAGTTATTCAACGTAAAAGTATAATTTTCATATTATTATTAATATTATCAAGGCTTTTTTATGAGGCGCCGCGCCGTTTGTGTCAAAATTAAAAGTGCTAAATAAACTTATTTTGTTTTATAAATAATTAATTATATGCTTTACCAAATAATTTTTTTATAAAATTATTTTTTATAAAATAATTTTTTTATAAAAAAATTTTTTATAAAAAATTTTATAAAATAATTTTTTTTTTAAATAATTTTTTTTTTAAATAATTTTTTTATAAAATAATTATTTTTTATAAAATTATTTTTTTATAAAATAATTTTCTGCGAATCAAAAATTATTTTATAAAAGACGACGGGCGCATTTATAAATTAATTTTTACTGCAGCCATCTCTATTTGTTTGTAGACACTCGAGTAAACCCGAGTAAACCCGAACGCCCCTCCCCAGATACAATTTTATGACGGACTGGGCTTTTGTTTGACGCAATTTGGGGAAAGAATTGAAAATAATAATTTATTATTTTTATTCATTAATTCATTAATTTTTTATCTACATTTATTTTGATTTTTAGTTTTTAACAAGAATTCTTTATGTTTAAACGTTTTTTATAAGAAAGCACTTGTTAAAAACTAAAATAAATAAATAAAATAATTCTCTTGAAAACAAATTAAAATAAATAAATCAATTCTCTTAAAACAAAACTAAAAATCAAAATAAATGTAGATAACAAAATAAATAAATTAATTAATAAAAATAATAAATTGTTATTTTCAATCGTTCCCCCAAATTACGTCAAACAAAAGCCAAGTCCGTCATAAAATTGTATCTGGGGAGGGGCGTTCGGGTTCACTCGGGTTTACTCGAGTGTCTACAAACAAATAGAGATTGGTGCAGTAAAAATTAATTTATAAATGCGCCCGTCGTCTTTTATAAAATAATTTTTGATTCGCAGAAAATAATTTTATAAAAAAATAATTTAAAAAAAAAATAATTTTATAAAAAAATTATTTGGTAAAGCATATAATTAATTATTTATAAAACAAAATAAGTTTATTTAGCACTTTTAATTTTGACACAAACGGCGCCTCATAAAAAAGCCTTGATAATATTAATAATAATATGAAAATTAAACTTTGGCGTTGAATAACTTTTAAACCAACAGACTAATGGAAAAATTTTAAGAGACCTTTTTTGTAAAGCGTTAAATTCTCTATAAAAATATGTATGATTTATAATTTTTAATTCATTCGTTCCCAAGTTATAAAATTATAAACAATAAAAGTAATTTTTGTTATGTTATTTCCATAGGAAACTTAGATTGGAATGCGCACTATCTTAGAGTTAATATTAAGAGCTCAAATTTTCAGGGAATTTTTTTTTATCAATTTGGAAGTATTTGAGCCCCTGGGAGCAAAGAAATTTGAAAATAACCTTATTAAGGACCACCCTAGTATATATTTTATATAAACTTAACGTTATAAATTATAATTTTTAATTTATAACTAAAAATGACAATTTGTATCGATTTAAATAATTATTTATATTAATTATTTAAATTAATTAATATTTAAATTAATTATAATTAATTTAAAAAAAATGGCGAATGCGCCGGGATCACTAGTTGATTTTTAAGATTTTTTTTAACCCAGCAGCACTAATTAATGTAAAAGTGATAGGGAAAAACTTGCGTAAAAATAATAAATTATTAATAATTATAATTAATTATTGTTAATAAATTTTAGTGACTTTAATTAATTAAATTGAAAATGACGCTAGGGGCAGAAATTTTTTAAAACAAAACAAAAAAATGTTGCATAAAAATAAAAGAACAAAAGCGTGGTATTAAATTTTTATAAAATAAACGCCATTATAAAGGTTTAAATTACATTTAGTGTTAAATTACCGTTTTATATCAAATAGCGAAGACGTTTTTTATTAATATTAAAGCACATTTCATGACTGCTAGTTTGAATTTACAAAAAAAATGGTAAAGGCTCTTTGGAAATTTTTTTATAAAATAAAACAATATTTATTGGTGTGTTTTATCGTACTTTTTTTTATTTAATCCCAGCACACTGGATTCATGCACGCGAAACCTAAGGCGCCCAGGGACGGCTCGGCCCATCCTGTGAGAGACGGAAGTTCGGACACCCAGTACTACCACACTGTAACGGCAGCCTCCTCTAACCGCAGCCCCATCACCAAGGTGATGGACATCTTCAGGGCGAGACCGCACGCTAGCGTTCCGCCGGAGGATCGCAGAAAGGTAGGAATATTTTTATTTTTGAAAAGTATAAAATTTTTAGGTATTTATTTATTTATTTTGTTTATTCTACTACTCGATTTTTTTGGTAGAGGTTTCCTTATTTATCACCAAATATTTTTCACAATTTTGGTGGACCAATCAGTGCGCTTTATTTGTCAATTTTAGACCAATCAAAAGTAATTGCTCCGAATATTGGACTAGTAATATTATACAGTGTGAACGAAAAAACTCCCCCCCTTTTATTTTTAGAACTAGTAGGTTGAGAAATGGTTATTATAGGATATTAAACTAGATATTAAATACTACTTTTTTTACATACAATTTTTGTTTAATTGGCGTCTTACTGTCAAAATTTACTTTGTTATTTTATTACGTTTAATTTAAAAAATAGACAATTTTTATAATTATTTTTTATTTTAAAACTATATGCATACATATATGAGGAATGATTTTTTAAAAGGCCTTATTTCCATTTTTACTTGAATGTAATTTTTTGACAAAATCCCAAAGGTATGGTTAAAAGGCATATATAATATATATATTAACGGCGAAATATGACAGCAGGTCTGAAGTATTATTATATATTCATCAGAATTTTTTTTTAAATAATCTATATTGCCCTAACCTATATAGGTTATAGTAATTTTTTTGAAAAATTGTGGCAAATGGAAATACGACCTTTTGAAAAATCACTCCTCATATATACATATACATTAGTGATGCAACGGTTTCGGGTTTTACGGTTACGGTTACGGTTAGCTCTAAGGTTAAGAATAATTTCACGGTTATTCAAAAAAAAAAAAATTACAGAATTACGAAAAATAAAGTTTATTGTTCAAAATGAAATTAATACACACGTTCAGCAAAGGTTGAATAATAGTGTATGTAAAACAAAAACAGAATTTCTAGTAAAACTATAAAACAAAAGGAAATGAATAATATTTTAAACCTTAAAACAGTAAAGTAAAACCTAAGTAGGTACCTAAATATTTAAAAAATAAAAAAAATTAAAAGTTAATATTCAAAATTTACGAGTTAAATTTTTATTTAAAAAACATAACATCTGCAAAGTCTCTTATACTCATACTCATAACATCTGCAAATTCTGCGGAATCAGCCTGTTCCTATTTGGTGTTTGCACAAGACCTGCAGTCGAAAACAACCTCTCCGAATTCACTGACAATGGTTTGTATGATAAATACGCCGAAACGTGTAACACGTTTTCCAGAATGTAAACGGATTTGACGTATGTGGTATATTTGGTAACGTTAAATACTCTTCAATCTTCTTTTTACATGCATTCACAAAGTAGCATGAAAAACCGTAAATGCCGTATACGGTTACGGTGAACCGTATAATATCGAAAACCGTGAATTAACCGTAACAGTAACCGTTGCAACACTAATATAATACATATATATTGTAACACAGGAACGAAAATTAAAAAACATAAAAATTTAAACGCGACAACATTGCGAGTTGTTAATAGTTGACAGTTGCAGTGACATTTCTTTATGCGGTGTTATTTAAAATCTTAAAATGAGTTGCGAAAACGAATTATTATGTTCTGTGAACTACAAAGAAAAAAATATTAAAAAAAGAAACAAAAATGTTACATACTGCAAAAATCTCGAAAATAACAGAAAGAGAATACCATAAAAGGTAGGATTGTCTTATTATTAAAAAAATATCCTATAATAAATAAGTAGATTTTTTTTAACATTTAGATTATAGCGACTAATAGAAACTATAATTAACCAAGTTATTTTTGGGATTCTGTACAGGGTTTGTAGAAAATAAGCAACATTAAATTTACATTTTAAAAGTTCTTTTTTTGTAATAACTTCCTTTGGAACTTCGACCACTTTTTGGCAAAAAAAAATAATTTTGGAAGTAGAAAAAAATCATTGGTGCTAGACGTCTGTGATTGGCCGATTTCGTTATTCGTTATTATTCAAATAGCCCTTATGTACTTAATAAAAAACTAAATAAATATTGTTTACGTCAAGTAAATGATGTAATTAAACATCTTAAGTATTTATAGTAATTATAGTAATTATTATGACGATCTTAATAAATTAAAATTTTTGTACTAAATTGTACACAATTTTAATTTATTAAAATCGCCATAACAATAATTATTGCTATAAATAACTAATATTGTTTAATTACATCATATTTAAATATACCTTAATCTAATTTTATCTGCATTTTACATTTTAATTAAAGTTAATTTTAATTATTTATTAGATATTAAAATAATTAAAATAATTATATACAAAAAATTGACGTTAGTAAAGTCCAAATTGCACTATAGAGTGGAAATGTCATTTTATTTAATTATCATGTATCATGCATAAAAATATTTTTCTTTTTAGATCGTACATACACAAGTTTATAAAAAGTATCTACCAAAAATATCCTTGTAATAGTAACTGTAGTACCTACTATAAAAAACTTAATTAACACAATTTAAATTTTTCAATAATATTTTTATAACCTTTTGGAATTTAGTTAAGAATACAATGTTATTTTATCCTAATGAAGAACCATTATTTCCCTTTAGCACTTTATTTAAGACATCCTTGAAATATTGTTCGAGCCTTAGAAACAGTGTCAGTAAAAGTTAAAATTTGTAATTTTCAATGTAATAGGCACATGTTTACTTTAAAACCTGTTATAGAACAATTGATTATTTTAAGACATAATGATAATAAATCTATCAAAGAAAACATAAAAAGTAATTTAAATTAATACTTATTTGAAGGATATAGAGAGTTGAATGCAACTAACTAACTAACCTATACTTATTTGGATATAATTTCAATGTTAGGTGCAAGGGTAAACTTATTCTTATTTCAAGAAAAACTGTCATATTATTTTAATTGCGAGCACCCTCAAATAAAATATACAATAGGCTTAATTAAAGAATAGGTATTTTTGGCACAAATGTTATAATTCTTGTCGATACAATATTTACTTTTGGTTTCAAATATTGTCTATTCTTTTTTTAACTTTTGCTCAACTATATAAAGGTTAGGATATAATGACCATGTATATTTCAAAATGTAAAAAGTGGATTATGCTATCTCTTTTTTTCTAAAACTGATAGAGAAAAAATAATAGGATAATCCACTCTTTACCTTTTAAAATAAACATGGTCATTATATCCTAACCTTTAAAGTCGAGCAAAATGATGATGATGATATTGTCTTAATTACAAAACTACAATGTTTTAAATACATATCTACCTATCTACCTATATATATATATAATATGTACTGCAATGATTTTTTCAAACCTTCAGACACGTTGATTTTGTTTGCGACACGGACATTTTTTGGCTATATTGGCCTGTTTAACCAAAATTTTTATTCGTATACCTATAATCTAAAGATAAAATTTACATAATTGTTTTTATGTGATTCATCGGCCAACATCTAAAATTCAATACATAATACTACACAAATAAATATAATTAAGTAATAATTATTACCTACCCACATACATTTATTGGTGAATTCTATCAAATTCCACTAATTTAGCAGCTCTTTCATAATTCCAAACCAAATATTAACTAATAGTCCGGGAGGCAGTGAAGATTTTCGGTACTTATTTTCCCAGTTTGTGAATGTCATTAAGTTTGTTCAAATGGTGACACAAAACGACAATTTGGGTGTCTGGCTGAAATTTTCGGATGGGTTCACTAGATGAGCCAAAAAGTCAAGTCCACTTATTTTCCCAGTCATAAATATTTCACATTAATTAAAGTGAGTCATTTTATTAATGGAAATAACAGTCTGGCACATCCCAAGTGAAGGAAAGTCAGTCTGGCTGAAAATTTGCGGAAGCAAAAATTTGACCGGTTTTTGAAATACGTAGCCCTTATTTTCCCATGCTTAAAATTTAACCCATTATTTGGTACTGTCATAAACTATAATCAAAATTAAGTCTGGCTGATTTATGAAATTGGCAAATTGTTCTGGCGGCATCTTGAAAATCGTAAGAATTACAAAAAATTTGCTCTTATTTTCCCGGATTTGAAAATTTGTCACATGATAAATAATACTATAATTTCGTAGAAAATACACGTCTGGCTGTTATTTACAATCACGAAAGCCCCGCCAGACTGCGAAAATAAGGGCAATGATTTTGATAATTTTTCCATCTGCCAGACATATTACCCATACTCACAGTTTAGCCAGACTATTTTTTTTTCATAAGTTCAGTATATGTATCTCTCACTAATGGAATTATTTTTATCACTGGAAAAAATATATATATATTTGTACTTTATAACGCAATTTCCGCCTTAACCCATCCGAAAACCCCCGCCTAAATATATATAAATTTTGCTCAGAATAACAAACCCAATAATTGTATCGGTGTTTGCCGACTGGGAAAATAAGTACCGAAAATCTTCACTGCCTCCCGGTTGGACGAGTCTGGCAAGGCTTTCGGAGTGTTCCACATTAGCCAGACTATATTTGCAGCTGTAATTATAATATAAACTATCATCTCACAAAATTTTTAGGACTGCGAAAATAAGGGCAATGGTTTTGATAATTTTTCCACCTGCCAGACATATTACCCATACTCACAGATTAGCCAGACTATTTTTTTTCTTAAGTTCACTATATCTCTCACTAATGGAATTATTTTTATCACTGGAAAAAAAAGTGCAATATATTTGTACTTTATAACGCATTTTCCGCCTTAGCCCATCGGAAAACCCCCCCTAAATATATATAAATTTTGCTCAGAATAACAAACCCAATAATTGTATCGGTGTTTGCCGACTGGGAAAATAAGTACCGAAAATCTTCACTGCCTCCCGGACTATAACACAAGAAACAATCTTCCAAAATGTCGGACACTTTCGTGAGTGAGGGATATTTTTAAGAAAAGGCCAGTCGTGCCAATATTTACTAATCGTAGAATAAATATAATTATATTTATATCCAGTATAGTTTTATATCTTTAAGAACGGAATAGAGGGA